TTTGCACCTCCTCCACTCTGCACTCAGAGGGGAGGTATCGCACTGTGGTGCCATGTTGCGCTGTCTCAGTTGGGTTTGTAGTGGCATAAAGTGGGAAGTGTCCTCACAGCACAGACAGTTAAATATTAAGCTGAAACATCAACAAAAGTTTCCTGTAAGATTTCTACCCTCCACTGAGTATGCCACGTTCCCGTGAACACCTGGGCACCCACAGCTCCTCAGTGGCACGTCTTGTAAGGGGAGCATTTAGCTAGTTCATTATTTCTCATTTCCTACCTGTAATGTTTCCACTTGCTATATACAGAACCAAACAGCTGACAGATAAATTGCTTGGAGAACCATAGCAGCGTTGTGCTTTGCTGTTCAATTATCACAGCCTGTAAAATTAGGCTTTTAGCTTCGTTGCTGGAAAACTGTCGCTATTTTAGACACAGATAGTTTGTCAGGAAGATAAACTGAAATTAGCCAAGGCATTAAGTTAGAATACAATTTGGAAGGACGGGATCCACAAAACCGATGCCAAAGAAAGCTGGAGCCTTCAAGATCATTTCCATTACATTTTAAAATGGTGAAGTTACTGCCAAATATGCAGCTACATTAATTATTAACTGAGGATACACTGTTTCAAAGTATTCCTTATTTTTGTACATTAGAAAAACCATGACTAACTTCAAGCTATACTGATTCTGCTAGAGGCAGATAAAAATAAAAAAAGCCCTAGCTGTAACATAACAGAGCGAGTAATTGTGTTTCGAGTAGCCATGCACCGTGATGCATTGAAAAGAGCTGCTTGGCAAGTCTCTCAAAGTGCTCTTAGAAGTCCTGCCTTCTAGCCTCATGTTACGCTAAATGTGATTCCAAGGAGCAGAAATTTAAAGTTTACACAATTGCTTTGTGTTTTTTATATGGTATTTGAATGGGAGACAGTATTCCTAACATTCTGGGTGTTACATGTGTGGCATCACTTAAATAAGCTTCATTTAACCCCAGGAACTGATAGTGTTGCAAGTAGATGTTCTAGTATTTCCTACCTGCTTCTCTACAGTTCTCAGAGCTTTAGTCTTAAGTTGACAAAGCCTTTTGCCTGTCTAAATAAAGTGCATCTTGGAGTTGTTAGGCTACATCCAGCTACAGTGCTTATATATATATATATATATGAATGTTAGCCCACTTTTAACCAATCTCAGAAAAGATCACTGTGTTGCAAGGAGTGTAAACAATCAATTTTCCTGTAATTTCTGCTTCCAATATAGACTACTTTCCTAACAGAATGCTGCTGGGCCTGCTCTGGGCTACAGGTACAGCTTTCACTTTTGGTTCACTGGAAGCATTTTGAATGTTTGAATAATCTAATGACTGCTTTTTTTTTTTTCCCCTCCCACTGCTTGCTTTCATGTAAAGAAATCTTATTTCTTGTGCAGGGAGCTCCTGGAGGAGAGTGGACTGACTGTGGACACCTTGCAGAAGATGGGACAGATCACATTTGAATTTGTAGGCAACTCTGAACTGATGGAAGTTCACATTTTCCGGGCAGATCATTTTCATGGAGAGCCAACAGAAAGTGATGGTAGGTAGCTGGTGGAGAAGGAAGGATATGCATTCTTTTCTGAGACAATATTGCTCTTAAGAAATGCAGAACTACTTGTGCCCAAATCCCTTTGAGAAGGGAGGCAGCTGGGCTGTAGAGGGAAGCTGGTTATTGACAGATAATCAAAGCCTAAGCAGCAAAAAGCCAAGAGAAAGTCTCATGCAAAGTTCTTTTGTTTTCTCCCACCAGAAATGCGTCCACAGTGGTTTCAGCTGGATGAGGTGCCATTCAATCACATGTGGCCAGATGATAGCTATTGGTTTCCTCTGCTGCTTCAGAAAAAGTTGTTTCGTGGCTATTTTAAGTTCCAGGGTCAAGACACTATCCTGGAACACACGCTAAAAGAAGTGGAGGAAGTTTAAGAAAACGGAAGCATTCAACCCATGTGCTGCTGCCCACACTGGGCTAGAACACCATGAGTACTACTTCTAAGGGGGTCCTTTCTCAACTCTCCAGCAAAGGAGACTTATTTGCCAGGTCACAGGGAAGTAAGAAAAATAAGGGGGTTTCTTAGAGCAGAAATAAAAGTAGATTTCCCATACTGTAAAGACCCTGGCTGTGACATGCTTGAGTGGTTACGTGATCACAGCTATTAAAAACTTACTGTTAACCCTTTTTTTTTTGCAGGTGGCTAATTTCTTAGGCTTTCCCCTCAAGGCTGAAAATGTTTTTAAAAGATTAAAATTTTTTTTTGTAAAAGCATGTGTTGTTCTGTTGTAAACAGCTGGCTACCTTCTAGACTGTTTAAGGGCCTTTCAGGAGTTGGCTTCCTTTCACAGAAACATTAAGTGGACTGTGATGCAGCAGAACCAATTATCTCTTCTATGCCAGTTTCTGTAGTTCTCTATTCAGCATTAGTTCCTGGGACGAGGAAGCCTTGACCAGCACTGTGAAAGCCTTCTGAAAGTTTAGGTAGAACTTTTGGAAGTTCAGGATCCTCCAGCTGAAGGTAACATAAGATTAGAGGAGTTAACAAAAGTCAGAGGTAGATGTATAGCACTGTTCGAGCCCTGCTTTCACTCTTGCAGCTCCTGTCACGGACTTAAACTCTTGTCAGCATTTATTTTTACCTGAAATGCTCAACAAAATCAACTTTCAGCAAGTCCATGTTGCAAAGTGTCATCACCTGTGGCTGCAGGCTTTGGTGCATGTCAGTAGCAGGAGAGCTGTTCCACACTTGGGTCAGCCCAACTCTGTGCTGGGCAGCAAAAGCTTAATCAAACTGTGCTAGAAATAACACATCACATATGTAACTTCTTACATAAGTTTTGATATTTTTTTTAAACACTTTTACAAACACATATAACACAGATAGAATCTTGGAATGTAATATAAGATCTGTAAACATTTCCAGTCTACCAGCTGTAGTAATAGCTCTTTAATTCCTGCATTTGAATAAAGTGCTTCATACATAAGGCTATTTGAGCAAAGCAAAGATACAGGATATTCCAGGCAGGCAAAATTCACACCCTCTGAACAAGATTGTTGTATCTTTTCTCCCTCCAGCAGTTCTGAATAATTTATACCACTCAAAAATGCCCTTCTTCATATGCTCGGTAAGCCACAGCTCAGAGGGTAAGAGTTAACACCTTAGAACCTTACTTTTCCTTTTGTGCTACACAGTGAGTTATTTATTTTGATACTCACCTCTGCTTCTGACAAAGCAGTAAAGGTTTCTGGCTGTTCTAACAGAGAGAGTGGCTCGAGACAAGTAGAGGAGAGAAAATAAGCACGAGGGGACAGGTAGCTTGTAACAGGATGCAAGACCTTACTGCGTGATAGGAAAGGGAGTGACTGGCAGCCAGTACCTGTTATCTTGATGTATTTCCTGGTGGAAACTGTAAATTGCATGGTGAGAGACAGCAAATTACTTTCTGTTCCTCCAGGAGTTTAGAAAGGAAAAGAACAAGTGCAGCTCTGGCTTGCAGATCTATGGCCATCCCCTCTTCTGCAGTCAGTTCAATCCTTTTACAGAGATGCTTTCACCAGCACTGAATTTTAGCTTCTGTCAAAGAGTAGTAACATTATTGCTCCTGCTGCAGTTGTGGAGACTGACATGTTTTAAATAAGTTCTGTCCCCAGCTGGTGATCTTTGTCTTTTGGGAAACAGCACAAACTGCAGATTGTAAATGAGCCTGTTAAAAATTCCAGGAATTACACCCTTGCATGATCAAAGTAGAAGAGTAAAAGCACTGGAATGCAGCAAGGCACTGTGGAAAACATGTTACAACTTAGGAGGAGCAGCTTGCAAGGAAGATGGAGAGGGAAACAAGGATCAAAGATTAAGATTGTACTGTAAATACAGTTTGGAAAGCCTTTCAACACAACACTGGTCAAAAAGCCTGTACATCTCTACTTCACAGCCTGAAGTAGAGGAGACCTCACGAGTGACAAAAACATATAGCCCTTTTGATAAAACCATTTTCAGGCAAAGTTTCAGTTCTCAGCTGTTGACTACCCTGGTACCTCCACGACAGATCTGACAGAGACACTGACAGAAAGATCAGAGGCCTTTTCTACCAGTATTACTTAGAAGGAAGGAAAGCCCCCATGACCTTGAGCACTACACAGAAAGCTTCCATTCACAAAGGCACGTTAACTCTTTGGCGCTACATCTGACATGAGGTCTTGGGTAGGCAGAATGCACTCTTTAATTATTCTGGTTTATTTTAGTGTTTATTGCGATCTGCCCAGCTACCAGCAACGGCACCGACTTCATTAAGCCTTGTTCTCCCCCTTGCACGCAGCTGGGCTGTTGGCTGCAGAAGGCAACAGCATGGAGGTAACTAGAACTGTTTCCCCTACTCTGACTAGGGGAGACAGATAACTGAAGTTAACTTGTGTGATTCCCTGCTGCATTCCTCTAGAGGAAGGAAGCTCTGCTTGATGCTGCTCCCCAAGCCTGGCAGATCCCTAAACTAAACAGAACAAGTACAGTAAGGAAATCCCTCACATATTGAGGTAAACGTAACAGTGCTATTTGCACACTGATCAGTCTCCAAAAATAAGGTTTGCAAACTAAGAGTTGTGTGAAATAGTGTATGTATGTATTTAGGAATGAGACAGAAGCTTGACAGTCCACTATGAAATAAACTCTGAAAGTGCCATTAGCTGTATCAGCTTTGAGAATACCAGGCCCCTGTTCTCAAAATACCATGTGAACAGAGTGAAGTCAAAACAAGAAATCCCCAACCCCATAACTGCTCTCCTCAAGGAGGCAAGGGCTGACAATGGAGGAATGGGTGCTTTTTCAAAACAACGTAATTCCAGTTTCTTTACAAGTCACGTGGTCTGTGTTTACCACTATTACAGTCTCTGCATTTGGAGTATAGAATTCTTGCTTTGAAGGAGAACAGGAAAGAGAAGTTGGTCTAAAGCCCCAATATGGTTTTGATAATTGAAAAACAAAAACCAAACAAGTCCAAAATCATAACTTTTTTCTAAATGTAAGAAGTGTAAAGTTCCATTCTGGCTAATACTTCGCAAGTGCTCCTACAGAACATAGCCCAGTCATCTTCCCCAGCCAGACAAGTTATGTAGAAGATCCCTCATACAGGTATCAGATCTCACCCCAAAACATACAGTATTTTCTTAATTGACTGATCACCACATCAGGCAAAGAAGGCTGAATGAGGGAAGATGGTTATTGAGAATAAGCAAATGACAGGCCATAACCAGCCAGCACCTTCTAAAGATGCCAGGAGCAAAGAGCATTTAAAAAATATGGTAACACACTTTCTGAACTTTGAGCACAGACTACACTCCTAATCAAGACAAGGTCAAGCAGAAAAAACCTTCTGTGCCATTCCTAAGATAGTATCATCTTTATTCCTGTACTGCAGAAATATTTCCCTCCCCAGCCAGTTTGCTCTGGCTTGTGAGTAGAATCTCTTCTGCATCACTCTGGAAATCTTCATGAGAGAGAATCAAATCTGTCACAGCCATTTGCAGTTAATTTGTCTCACTGGACAAAGCCAATAGGCAGGAGGAAAGACTCAGAAGCGAGTTAACATTTGAATTGCTATAAAAAGCTCTTAATAATGCCTTCTGAGCAAGGTTGGTAAACAAGACACCCTACACACTGCTTAAGGCCCAGCACCCAAGAAATTCACCCACATAACTTCACTTTACCACATTTTGAGGGGTGTGTGTAATGGTTATGCCAGTCCCATGAACCTGGGCAAGTAACTTAGTATCTTGCTCCTAGCTGAAAAAAATAACCCACAATTTCCACCTGCACTAGGAAGAGTTTTATGTTGCACTGAATTTTCTAGAAAAAAAAAAAAAAAGCTTTTGTGATTGGAGGATTTAAATATATTTCCTGCTAATGGGGAAGTTCTCCAGTGGGAAAATACTGTAATGGTTCCAGTTTGACAGCAAGCACTCATCCTTGTTAAGGTACTTCCTTTTTACCCACTCAAAGATATTTTCTTTCTCTAAGAAGCCAAGTCTCAAATTCCCCTTTGGCAGCTATTTTGGCCCCAGAGAAGTTAGGTTCAGGGGAGTCTCTTCATGTGGAGTTTTGCTGCATACGTCTGCAGTTTCTTCGGTTATCAGTTTCTCTGGAGGATATGCAGAATTTCCCCTAAGGTAATATGACATGCAAGTTGTCCTCTCCCTACCCTCTGCCTCAAGAGGGAAAGTCACTGGAGATGCAAAAGTGAAACGTGGAGAATGTTTAGTCCCTTTATCACAGTAACAAATTATTCTGAAAACCCCATTACCAAGGACTGCTATTTTTAGAAAGATAGAGAAATGTCACTTAATTGTCTTCTCTCCTTCACAAACACACCCCAATGCTACCCACGGCCAGAAAAAAAGAATGACAGTAACATCCTGATAAATACTGATTTTTTGCTAATGAACTTCATCAGCATTGTGTCCCAGCCTGCTGCTGTAACAGGATACTTCATCTGATACCAGACCAAAGAAAACACCAGCCTTCGGGTCAGCAGCTCTCCAATAGCCCTAAACAGCTCCTCAACAGATAGATGTCAGAACCTCCAGAAGAAAATAAACAAGCTACCTTGCAGCTGTTCTCTTACAGCGTGATTGGTTTACAATTAAGGAGTGTTTTATTCAATTATTTTTTCATTTGTGCCAGGCAAACTCCTCTGAGTTCCTGAACCCAGTTGTCTTTGGCCCCAAACTGAAAAATACGAGCAAGTCTCTAGGCTGCCCTGCAACCGTGAACGGAAACATGCTGACAATAGTCTGCCTGGCCTCACTGGGAAAATTCCTGTCACACAGCAGCACTAACCCCTGCCCAGCTGGGTTAGTGACCCCGACCACTGCGTTCACATATTGTGTGCTAAAGTCTAGCAGTAAGAAATCAAATCCAGACACCTATCAGTGGGACAGGAGACAGCTTTCAGCCTTTCTTACGCACATATGCCCCTAACACAGGCCCTCCCAAGCTTACAAGGCAATCCGTCTCTACTACAAGCAAGTGCTTCACACATCCTGTTCGTCTCAGCACTGCAGAGATGCGTCAGGATGTGTGCAGATAAAGGTTATCGGAGGACTGTTAGTAAAAGATGCAGAGGCACCAGCAACAACACTGCAGCACACGCTGCCCCAGGTCACACCCTGACCCCACGAAGAGCATCTGCAGGACAAGGAGCATCAGCTCTGCCCCAGAGCATTTCAAAATTAAGGGATTGTCTTTATATCTGTATGTTCTGCCCCACATACAGTCTAAATCAGAGAGCAGCTCAAAGCAGCGGTATTAAAATAAAAAACAAAAAAAAATAGCTGTTTGGAGGATTCATCCTAACATCTGGAGGTAGAGGTCCCACCCCTTCCTTGATTGCACTTCTTGCTCCATGCTAGATGCTCAGAGCATTAATTGGAGAAGAAGTTTCCCTCTGGAGGTGACAATGGTGGAGTTGGCATATTGCTAGATCCCACAAAGAGGCAGCTCAACTTCGGCTTCAATTCATTCCAAACTTTACTCATCTGTGAATGGAAAAGGAGAGAAAACAGACATGACAACACGGCAGTTAATCATCTCACCACACTGTATTGTAGCAGCAGTTTCAGAGTACAAAAGAACAACACCAATTCTCTGAAGTACTTTGGAGAAGTCCAGCGGGCCCAGACTGTCCCTTTCAGACTGGTGCTGTAACACAGCGCTCTGAACATTTTATGGAGTGTGGATGGAAGGGAGATCTTCCATAGCTGGGTCAGATTCCTTCACTGAAGGGAAGGAAGGGAGCCAAAGAAGAAGGGACTTCTCAAATATAATGAATGCAAGAAAGTCTCTATATGGGGAATGCTGAAGGTCATAGTTAGGGGTTCAGAAATGGGACCTCTCAGATTTTTAGAGAAAAACCAAGGATGTTGTTCCTTGTCATATAATTTTTCTGTAGCACAACAAAAAACAGATTCATCTAGCAAACATACATCATTCATTACAGAACAGCTAGTTATTTAATGGTTGGGTCTTCTTCAGCTACTTGTAGGATAAAGGCCATATGCAGATGAGAGAAAAACAGAAACACACAGCAACTTGCTGCAAGAAGATACAGTCTTTTATAGGGGTTAGAGGCCAGTCTTGATCCTCACGCCAAGTTGGAAAGACTTTAGGTGACTTCTTAAGAAGTTATGAAAGAGCCCAGCTAGACAGATGATTAGAGGAGGAAGGCCCACATGTGAAAACAAATACATTCAAATTCTCATTCATATTTTGGGAAAAAGAATACAGACCAGAAGAACTGACCTCTTTGTGACCCTGGATCTGGGAGTTGACAAAGGCCCCCAAAATGTGAGACGTGAGAGGCAGATAGATGTGGATAAGCTGTGTCTCCTGATGCAGACAATACAGAGAGAAGTAATTCCGCAGCTCCATGGTTAGGATAGCATTTTCTTGCTGAAAGAAGAGGAACTCGGTCAAATACATTGCCAGGAAGAGGGTGCCAAGGAGGTTCACTTGCAGCAGGAGAAAACAGCATTCCTCACCATACTAGCAACACAAACACACACCAGAAACCTAAAAAGGCAGTTCCCAGACCCATTTGATATGACAGCAGCTGCACTTTCCATCATGCAGACTGTTGCTTTCCACAACAGCTCCTGCAAATAACATGTTGCCAAAGACCCACTAGTGAGTGTTGAAGAAAACAAATGCATTCTCTATGTAGCACAGCAGGTAGCTCAAATTACCCAAAGCACAGGCTACCATTTCAGTCTCATGGCTTTCTGCAAATATGACTGAGCTACACAGCAGTACCATTATAGGAGGCCAGGACCACGTTTTGCTCTCCCAGGCATCTGCCCTACCTCCACGATCCGAGACTCCAATTGCTCCACTGATTCTGGTTCTTTGTTCTGCACAGTGGCACTCATCATCTGCTTCTTCATCATGCTGTACTTATGCAATGCTCGCTGGTGCTTGTGCAATACCCCCTTCTCATGTCTTTCACACAGGTCCTTTATGGGAAAAGGAAAAGAACAGGTACTTAGTGGAAGCTGAGACAGCAAGCATGCAAGCCAAGTACATCAGGAACACAAACACATGATCACGCTTTATGTAATTTCTATGCTACAGATTTTGCTGGTATGTTGTTTATTTTCAAGAGGGTCAACAAAAATGTGGGCAGCTAAGAATTCAAGAAACAGAACTGCCGGGACCCAGATCAATGAGCTTAAGAGGCAATCTTAAGCATCACTTCTGCCAGCGTTTTGGATCTTATCAGGCCTCTTATCTTTTGTGCCCTTCTCAATATTAAGTGCTTGCAATTAACTGTGGTGAGAGCTTGCCAGCGTCCTTCTATTTCAGTCAGGCCTGGGAAAGTCAGGAGAGGCTGCCACATACAGTTTCAGTAGGTGCTTTTTAGAAAAAAAGAAGTGCCTTTAAGCAAAAGATTAATATTAACAAAAATTTTTTCATTTGTATCTGAACTCATGTCTTCATGAACAAACCAGTATCAATCTAATTCGTTGGTTTGACTCAAAGTCAGCTAAATATGGAAGAAAGTTAGCTGATTCATATAGTTAAAGCAGACATATTTTTAAATTCCTTGCAGGGTTTGCTGTTTGGCAAATTCTCATCATGAGATGAGCTGATCAGGAAGGCTACAGAGCTAGCTATGGTCAACAGCCACTCCCCACCCTCTCCCAGATGCCCAGTTTGCCTCTGAACTGGCCTCCCAGACAGTTTTCCATCCAGTTGGCGTTACACCCTCTAAAGAGCACAAGCTTGCTCTGAACAACTTTCTCATTGGCAGAAGAACAGCAGAGCTCACTTTATAGGACTGGAGCAAATCCAGGAAAAGGTTCAGCTTCTCCACCACATCATTCTCTTCCTGTTTACCCTAGAAAACAAGGAAAAAGTACATTTTATGTAAGCCTGACAAGAACCAACATCACAGTTCTTCCCATCCTTACACCATACAGGCCCTCCACTGTATTCTCCAGGGCACATCAACACTTACAAAATTGCACCAAAAATCTTTCAGATGGCACTGGAGCGTTTAGTTTACAGCATGCAGAACAAAGATCTGACTGGAGCTGAACAGCTTTTCCAATTGAATGATCATTGTAACAAGAAGAGTTAGTTTCAGTCCTGTGTGTCAGACCTTTCAGCTCTCTCTGCCTGGAATTTCTTGCTCTTGCAGATTCCTCCAAGCTTTCATCTTTCCTTTTACAAGATAACTAATCCATTACAGCTATAAATACCTGCATGTTCCCCATAACAGTTCATGCATCAGAAGACAAAGATGAGACACCAAGCCAAATTTCACTACTTGTTTTTTTTATTTTACTAAATACTGTCTTTTCTTCCTGTATCAACAGAGCTATCTGGAGCATAAACTCTGGAGGAAAAAAAAAAAAAAAAAAGGTCTGATCTATAAAAGCATGCTGAGTATTTTAACACAATGAGATGAGAAGACAAAACCATTACTTTTCCTTCCCAGACTAACATGGTCTCACATTATTCTAACAGTCATTATCACACTGCACACTTACACAGGAATAGGATGCTTCTGTCTGAATGATTCATGTAATGTTTAAGTACATGAATATCAAGATTTGATTCAGAATGAAGTTCTTCTGGGTTCTCTGTGGCAGATTAATAAGACAGAACGCAGGACTTTTGGACAGCTCAGTATAGTAGTACAACTTAATTTGTCCAATCACCATTTGAAATTACAAAAGAAAGCAGGCTTTCCCCTCCTTTCCCTTGCCCATTATATTTTTTCTCATTTAAACACAGTCCAGGTTTTTCATTCAAGCTTGAACAAGCAGGCTGGTGGTTGAGGATGCGAGTTTGGACTACAGGCTCCCTCTTAACTCTTGAAGTGCCTATGTCCACAGTGCTCACAATTCAAGATGAAACTTAAGGCAGCAATGTACCTTCTTCATTTTACAAAAAGAAAAGAAAAAGGACAAGAACTCACCTGCTGCACAGCCTTATCTGCCAGAAGTGCAAATTCAACAGACAGACCCTTCAAGGCTTGTTTCAGAGTCCCCCACGTGCTATTATTCAAAGCAGCCCAGGAAGGAAGTGGCGTAGTGTCTGAGCCCAAAGCACTAGGAGGAGATAAGTAGTATTCAAGGAGACAAATTCCACAAAGTAGATATGCTTACTGGCAGAGAGCAGTTCAGAGTTTCAGACCTGTCTAAACAGCTTTCAGCGCTGAGATACTACTGCACAGTCACAAATACAGAGTTGTGTATATACTGGAGGAAGAGACAACAAAACCAGTAACTGAATATCAAGGTATTTGTATTTTCTTTGCTCTTGCTCTAGGGAATGCAACCTTAGTGGAAAGCAGGTATTTTCTTCTTTTATAGTAGGAAAAATTTTATTATGACCTACAGCGTGCATTGAAATACCCATTCTTACCAGACTGTTTGAAGGTAAACCTTACAACAGTTCTGAGTTCTGAAACAACAGTAGAAACGTTCATATTAGCAAATCCTCTTCCTGCCAACCTACCTTAGCTCCTTTCCAAATATGAGGAGATCTGAGGCATTATCAATGGCTCGAGAAGCTATCCTCTCCGCACGGTCCCGAAGCTTATAAAAGCTATTATAAATATTTCTGATGAGCTCCCTGCTGGCAGCAAACTGGGCCTGTATGTCAGCTGGAAGGAAGTCCTGAAGGAGTGCAAGCAAAGAGATGAGGCACGTTTACATTTGTTAATTGTGGGCACACCATATAGTCAGCAGACAGACAGGTTTCCCTCTCACGCTCGCTCTCTCACACTGTGCTGTAACAATCCTGAAGAGATTAACTTCACAATTCAAGCATCTAAGTCAGATGTTATACAAATATTCCTAGTTTTCAGAGGCAGAAAGCGGTTCAAATACTGGGTGTAGACAGAGTTTGTAAAGTCTGCAATTCTGCACACTTCAAATGAGGTTTGTGAGGTTTCAAGCTCACAGGTTCTGATCTGATGCTACTAAACTGCCAGGCTGGCAAAGTCAAGCATGTACTGAAAGTTCAGCTCTTTTTGACCTGTGTCTCACTGGTAAAAGCCTAAAATTAAGCTCCAGTTGCAAAACCTTCTGCTAGCATTGCAGGAACCTGAACAGCAACTTGCTTTAGAATTGCTCAATGAACACAGTGAATGTATACTTAAAACTTGCCATAGCACTAATCACTGGGACAAAAAGATATATGGAGAACTTAAAACTAGCTTCTCTGTAACAGTCCAAATTACTCTCCCACAGGGAGATGACAGACAGAATGAGGACATGAACACATGGTGAAGACATCAATCTAGATACTAGCTTTTAAATTGTGCAGTAGGTGCATTTGTTTGTTATGCAAGTACAAGTAATTACTGAGAAACATGTTCTGAGCAGGACTCATTGTTTAATCTTTTATCATATTCATGAACTAGCATTTAGTTAGAAATATCAGGCCCTTAAGACCCAAATATTTATTTGACCTTTTTGATAAAATTAGAAGTTTAAAATTCCTTCAAACTTTGGAAGCAACTTGCTCTTACCTAAGGTCTCCATCACTCAACAAATGCCATAACTGATTCACCTGGAGGAGAGCCATTTAAACCAGAATAATAAATTGTAAGAAATTCACACACATACCTTGGCCTGGGTAGCTAATCTGCAGGTCATAAATTCATCTCCTACTCCTTGGACCAACTCTCTTAGCTTATTCTGTACATCCTGGAGAAGATACAGAATTCAAATGAGCGTGGAAGAAATAAGTAATGCACAGGCAGTTCACACAGGTCTCAGATATAGTGCAATAGTATAGCACAACTTTGCAGATATTATGCTTTTCTGTAAATTAAATCTGGGTAAAGCTATATGTATTCCCCTAAGAACAGTTATCATTTTCAAAATACTATACTCCTAGCACCAAGTGAAATGACTTTCCACTTTCCAGCTGTAGAGACACTTATTGAAAGAAAATTCTCCTCATCACAGGGAGCAACAATATGTAGGTCAAAAGCAATTCTGAACTCTGTGCCCAGCGAAGCAGTTACAGGAAGAGATGCAAACTCAAGACTATTGCTAACAAGTACTCACTGAGCCACTGAAGGACAGAAAGAGTTTCAAGAGCACATCTTCCGAGAAAGGGGGATGTCGAGCCACCAGGTTTATAAACCGCTTCAGTGCTCTCCTCCTAGATTCTATAAATTCTCGATCAGCTAAAGGAAGAAATATTAAATTTCAATTAATGCACCACACATTACAGCTGCTCAGAAAGAAAGAAAAAAAAAAAAAAGAAACCACTTAGTCCAATAATTTCCTTGTATTATAACCCTTGCTAAAGCACTGCAACCAAACCGATAGTCTGTCAGCTCCCCAAAACAGAACTTTTGAACTGACCGCCAGAACAAATATTCCTTCAAGTGGTTCTTTACATCTTACTAAAAGCCAGCATACGTAACTTTGTGGTTATTTCCACAGCGTTGGTCAGGTAAGCAGGATAAAACTAAGTCTAAAGCCTGAAACCTTCACTTACAAACTGTGTGCATACAAAGGTTCTTCCTCTGAATCAGTTCCACAGCCAGTTCCCACAGGGAATCTCAGCCTGTTTGGGACTCCTGGGAAATGCAGCCCAACACTCTGCTTCTTCCCACCTGCAAAGGGATTATCTCACAAAAAATTACATTTTTTGCTCACAATTCTGAAGAACTAGCTTCAGTGTGCTGTACCTTCACCTGTCCCTCCTCCACAATTTAAGCATTTTGGGGCTAGAGGGAGAACAAAGGGTTGGGTTTTTTCAGTTGTTTGTTCAAGATTGGTACCCTTCTTTCGCATGCAAGATGCTAGAAAGTACTTTGGAACACCTGCACACCAATCTCGGTAACATCCATTCAGAGTCCTTACTTGTCAAACTAAGTAAGTTCCATTCCTCTTCCTGAAACAGGAAGAATTTCAATCTGGCAATACTGCAGTAAGGCTGTAAATCACAGTTCCTGGAGTTTTTCAGGAAAGATGAAAAATTAAACTAAAATAAGACTGAAGAAAGCACAGAACAAAATTAAAGGAATGCTCTTATCGCCTATCAAATGATTTTTCTGTCATTAGGGTTGCAGATCTTGACTTCTCTTTGTTCATACTTTGACCTAGGTGAAGATCTCTGAAGTCATCTACACACTTCCTACATGATCTGTCTGCCATGATCTGAGATAGTTTGCTGCTATCCTCCAAAATGAGCAGAGCAGGTTATCAATCTTTCTTCATTTGAGAGACGGCTGAAAGTAGACCATCATGAAAAGAGAGTGTAACTTAGTAGACGAGTATACAGTGCATAAAGAGCATGTAGCTCTGCCCATCTGGCTCTGGGACTAAGGAGGTTGCAAGAATCACACATCTATACTAACCTATCAAATCCTGTGTCCTGCAATTCTGTTTGTCAGTCCATTAACCTACTCAGAAACAAGAACTACCCATTCCATTTCCTTTTTCCTGTTTGTGATTTCTATTAAGACCACTTACACAGCTTTTCTATATGCAGAGCCCCAGGACTAAAGGCAACCATCCCTCTTTGCCTTAACAGAGTTTTGGACTGTGTTAGGACTGTACACCTAGCACAGTTTGGGAAATAATCCTATCAGTTTTTTCTCAAACATATGATATCTGTGGCAAGAAACACAGCGGTGAATGCACAGAAATACCAACACACCGGCAACACAAAGAAATAACAGTGACTGACAAATGACATGTTGGTAGCTTCTTTCAAGAATCCTCTCTCCACTAAGATTAAGCAGAGAAGGTCACTTTGCTTACAGGTATTGCATGAAGTGGAAATTCTGGAAATTCTGGCTGAGAACACTGAATCAGATCAAATTCAACAGACGGGTTTTTGCAACCCCAAAAGAAAGGTCTTCCCAATTTACATTCCACCATAAGAATATATGACCATTGAAACTTTTCAGCACTATTAGTTTGCTTTCTTCCAGTTACTATACACCCTGATATGCTCTGCTGCTCACTGTTTATCAATTCCTCTTGACTGTAGCAATACATGGACTCCTCAACTGAAATCAATTATTTATTGAAACACATTATGCTTAGCAGCACGGGCAGGAGCAAGACATTGAAAAGCTTGTTCTTTCACAGATAAAGTATGAAACAAGACAGGATTTTATACAGTTAAGCAACATTTGAACTAATAAAAGTTTAAAAACAGCGTTAGTATTTCAGATGAGTGAAAAACGTACCCGAAGCAGCTCTGATATGCTTTCAGTCTTGGGATAATTAATTGGTTTGTATTCTAACAGCTAAAATATACTTGAATGAACTGACACTGATTCCAGCCTCAGTTTTTAGTTTCGGGGGGAAAAAAAAAAAAAAAAAAAAAAAGGGCAATAACTACTTTAAGGCAGTTGGTTCATCTGCCAGAAAGACACACTTTTGTACATACACCGAGAAAGTGTAATTATCATTGCCTCCATCATAAGGCTTCTCTGCAAGATAATACTAAAGTGGGCAGTGCTGAAGCTGTTCATTCGCATCACTGTTCACTAGTCCCTCTTAGGTGTGTGTGAGGTCAGGACCCTACACTAACCCAACAGGATCAATATGATCTCACTGGAGAAGGGATTTTGCTGGTTTTACACAACTGGCTCCTTTGCAGTTTTAAGCCTTTTTATCTAGATTAATTTTTTTTTTAATCTTTAGTCCTCTCACTATAGAAAACCAAGGCAATTTCCACAAATCTCTTCTACTCTGAACACATCACAAAACAACTCACTACAATACATACTACAGCCATTCAACAGCAAGGTAGCAATTCTACGCTCATAGCACTACAACACTGATAATCATAATATTTTTCTAAAAAACAATTCCTGCAACTCTGCCATGCTCTTGTGTAGAATTATGCCTCAAATACCACCAAGAAGTCATTAGATACTGAGCTTCCACAGAAAAAAACCCCACTGAAATTTTACATTAATACCTTACCTATAGGGAATTTCTAGGATGGCAATATTTCACACCTCCAAATTGTGTACTATAACCTCAAAGTTGCTTTCTGAGCCAAGCAAAAGCAAAGCCTTTCAATCTTTTAAACATTTATTTTTAACAGTATCTCCTCAATCATGCTTGCACTACAACCCCTCCAGTCAAAAGAAAAGCTCAGGTTTACCTCCCAGCATCCTCTTTGGTGGAAGTGCTGGCACCATACGATACGGGAACTTCTGAAGCAGCATCTCATGGAACACCACAAAATCATTGTATCGCCTGTAGACTGAGCATTTGAATCTCTGCAATTAAGGAAGGGGGAAGAATAAATCAATATACAGGAAGGACAATCAGCAGCATTTTCATAATATTTTGCTACCAGCTGCACTAAAAACAAAAAGAAAAGAAAGAAATGACACCCAGAGACTGCAGAAACAACTTCTTTCTTCTCTTTAGAAGCCTTGTGGTGGGAAGGAGGGAGAAGACTCCAAAGGCAGCCATCTTCCAATTATGAATAGAGATGGCATTCTTCTAACTACAGCGTCCTGGGTTTGCATGGCACAGTTTTGGTAGCCAGGGGCTACAGGGGTGGTTTGTGTGAGCAGCTGCCAGAAGTTTCCCCCATGTCCAACAGAGCCAGTGCCAGCGGCTCCAAGACGGACCCACCGCTGGGCAGGGCCGAGCCCATCAGCAGCGGTGGCAGCACCTCTGGGATAACGGACTGAAGGAGGGGAAAAACCTGTGCAACTGCAGCCGGGGAGAGGAGTGAGGGTAAGTGAGACAAACAAGTGCAGAGCCCAGGTCAGTGAGGCAGGAGGGGCAGGAGGTGCTCCAGGCCCGGAGCAGAGGTTCCCCCCAGCCCGAGGTGCAGCCCCTGGGGAGGCAGCTGTGCCCGGCGCCCAGGGAGGGGAACGGTGGGGCAGATCCCACCTGCAGCCCGGGGGGGACCCCACGCCGGAGCTCGGTGGTGCCCGAAGGAGGCTGTGACCCCGTGGGAAGGTCCCCGCGCTGGAGCAGGCTCCTGGCAGGACCTATGGCCCCGTGGAGAGAGGAGCCCCCACTGGAGCAGGTTTGCTGGCAGGACTTGTGACCCCGCGGGGGACCCACGCTGGAGTAGGGGAGGAGTGTGAGGAGTCCTGCCCCTGAGGAGGAAGGAGCGGCAGAGACAAGGGGTGATGAACTGACCACAACCCCCATTCCCTGTCCTCCTCTGCTGCTGGGAAGAAGGGAAGGGTGAGGTGTTTTCAGATTTGTTTTTCTTTCTCATTATCTTACTCTGATTTAATTGGTAATACATTAGTTTTTCCCCAAGCTGGGTCTGTTTTGTCTGTGACAGTAATTGGTGAGTGATCTCCCCCTGTCCTTATCTTGACCCACGAGCCTTTCATTTCATGTTTTTCTCCCCTGTCCAGCTGAGGAGGGGAGTGATAGAGCAGCTCTGATCAGCACCTGGTGTCCAGCCAGGGTCAACCCACCACAACCAGTCCTTTTGAGAATAAGATTTTCATTTAATAAGATTTTAATTTAAAAACATGTCAGATTTCATTCACACACAAGATAAAAAAGACTATGAAATGGAGAGGAAGAGGTTTCCCAAGAAAGTACAATTATCACTAAATCTGCCAGGGTTCCATACCATTAGTCCCACAAACTCTCTGGTCTTCCCAGTTAGACAGAACATTTAAAAACAATGCAAACACTCTTAAAGTGCTCTAGAGAGCTCTTTTCTTGAAGTGTGGCAAGTCCCTGAGCTCCAGCTCTTACGAACTTTCTCTAAATTGGTTTCAAATCCAGAGGTGGCAAAACAGTCTTTAATCATGTTAGGTATTAGCCCAAATGACTGATGTTTTAAGTGAACCTCACAAGAGGCCTCTCACTGATGTTAGATCTATAAACAAAGATCGGAAGTTCCTTTAAAACCTTAGTAATTCACTCTGCATTTCTTAAATCAATATGTAGAAGAGGCCAACGAAACTGCTTTTTCATTCCAAAAGGAGTTAGGTAGAAGCTAGATCAAGACAATTTGGAGGCAGAAATCCTTTTAAAATAATAATTAAAAAAAAAAAAAAAAAAAAAAAAAAAAAATTAAAAAAAAAAAAAAAAAACACAAAACAACAAACACACCACAAACACCCCACACTGTTAGTACAGATTCAACTACTGGAGCAGCTAGTAAGACTGCACAACACTATACTCATTCTCACTACATTTGCACTGCACATTATCCACTGTTCATTGTGGCACCGCATTTTCAAAAACAAAGCAACGACGCATTTAACTGGAACACAACGGACATAACCCCTATGACCACCCTCTGTCTGCTTTGAAATCTGATGTTGACTTGTGTTGCAGATCTTAGATGAAGCTCAAGGCCAAGCTATGCTTCCTTCTGAGGATGTATCACTCTACAGCTCTAACCATAGGAAGGACGACAGCAACTGAAAGCAATCAGTAATGGGTTTCTAAATTCAAAACCTAGAGAGATCACCGGGGTCACCGAGTCCTGTGCCCTGAAATCACAGGCAAAAACACACATTGTGTCCTAGAAATCCCACAGAAGCATTCACTGTGTCTGTGCTTTCCCCCCCTCACAACAGTCTCTGACAAACTTGCAGACGTCAGTCTAAAACACCTACAGCCCCAAACATCACTACAGACAAGTGGCCCAAATGTGTCTCTGAATACACACAACAGTGGCTGCAACAGTTGGAGCGCTACTCAGTAACTGATATTTTGGTAGCCTGGCAGATGTAAATTGCTGCTCTGAAGAGGACAGATTTCCTTCTTGAAAAAACACACAGAAGCTATGGGAGAGCTATTTCACTGGCCGCTCCATAAATAGGAAAAGATATATCTTCAATCTTCTCTTATATCAAGAGAGGAACCTAACGGTCAGAACTGGGGCAAGTAAACTGGAAGTAGCTTAGACTCTGCCAAAGGATTTGCAGTACCTTTTCTGTTTATAAAGGATTTCAGTTTAGCACTGCCAATACAATTACTTCACAGTTTCTTCACTAGCTCCAAAGAGTCTGAAATATCCAAGTCGCCTACAGCAATCCATTATGAAAACATTCAGCTTTCAATGTTATACATCTGCTTTTGTACAGAGCTCAGGTTTCAAATGAGTAAACTTAGCAGACCATCCATCAGACCTCTGTTGAAGACGCTCTTTACTGCGGAAGCCCTGGTCAAGACAGCATGGTGCCACTGAACTAAAAGTGAGCCCATACAACTGGCCTACTCAAAGCCAACATCACCCAACACATCTATGAAATTAGTGCCAACAGCAGCTGCACAGACATTCTTAAGAGGATAGACATTCTCACTAAGACCAATTCTTGTTCACATTACCTTGCTGGAAACCTCGTATTCCACATGTTTCAGAAAAAGGCCCTTCTTCTCAGGTATAAGCTCCACCTGCACGCTATCCTTGCTCAATAGCTCTTGTAAGGTGTGGGAAAGCAGCAGTGGATTTCCCTGGGGTGCCTGCATTAGAAACTGTTCCGGTTCCCTCGGTTCATTTACTGGAGGCTTTGCCAAATCTAAAAGACAAAAAGGGAAAAACAGTCCAGTAAACCTGGTAGGATAAAGTAAAAGAAGTAGCCTTTAAATATTCTGCTCAGTGCTCCCACAGTGATGCAACACAACCAGAACACTCAAGCCACTCCCCCAGGAGGCTATGCTACTGCACACACGTTCGAGACATTGGTACCTCCCTCTTCACAACACCCAGGAGCACCACCAATTATACCGAGTCAGAAAGACATCTCTACTAAGCAAAAGAAGAATCACAGGCCAAATTTGTTCTGTGAATCATCTATGAGGCCTGCATTTCCTGTCTGTCCAGCTCCCACCACAGCAGGATCTGCCAAAATGAACAAAACCCTAGCTCAGCACTTCTGGATCCTGCCTAGAACAACTCATGGAAGGAAAGAAAATGTGTTATTTTACTGCGCTGCAGAAATTTAATACATTCATTTTACATGTCATTACAAAGGAAGGAGACACTTCATTTGACATAATTTTATTAAACTGTGACAGTATGCTAGAGTGGGCATGAATTACAGTAATTTACTATGTCAATATGCTTAAATTCAAAAGCAGGGGAAAAAGGCTCCTAATAACGGCTACCAACCCAACAGTTCCTCAACCACAGCAAGCTCTGGCAAAATCTTTCAAATATACCTATTCCACTGCTTACAGCTAAAAAACAAACAGCTTTCACACTGAATCCAACCACAGATGGACAGCTTGGGTCAGAGAGATTCTAACTGATTCTCAGCCAAATGCAAAAGTGAAAAAAAGATGGCTTTTCAGAATATGGCCCTGGAGGACAAACTACATCAAAGAAGGGGCAAATGATGATGACTCAGAGTACTCTCTTATCAAATAACTGACTGCAGCCCATTATCTCAACTTCATAACTACACATATTATGCAACTATAAACTAAGCTAACATTGTTTTCAAAGCAAATCTTTTTAAATAGCAATTTAACACATAAGAAACAGGGTGAAAAATACAGATATAACCCTGAAATCTATTCAGCCCATACCCGAGTTCTGTTCTCCAGTCCGGAACAGGTGGGTTGCTTCCTCTCTGTACATGTCAGTTTAAGAGGGATACTGTGAGCAAGCTCTTTTACAAACAAGTTGAATGCATTGACAAAAAGTTACCTAGAAAAGCTAGGCAGTATTAATCATCCCTTCCTTGACACTGTGTAGAGGTTATACCCCTTCTTAAACATATCTAAAATTTTGAGAACACAAAAGGGCAGTAACACTACAGGAGCAAGAAACATTTCTTTAAGTTTGATACATAGTTAAAAAAATATTGATAACTGTGTAAGAGATTAACTCAGTAATGGAAATAACTCATATCCTTACTTGAAAGCCCTGACCTCGTCCTGATAAAGATTTCTCACCTGTTCCTTCATGTGTTCTAGGCCCTGATAAACGGGGAAAACAGGTAGACTCCAAACCCTCAGATACACAACTTCAGATTAGACACTTTGTTCCATAAAATGGCTTAAGGAAACCAAACCAAATCCAGGACAAATGACCTTATCCCACATGTCTCATCAGGCTTCAGATTCCTGCTAATGTGACTCAGAGAAGCAAGTCTTAACACCTCTGCTTTAATAGACTAATATATCACCTACTAACCCCACCTACGTAGCAGCTTCTAAAAAGTTCCAGCTACCTGCCAGGAATCTGTGGCAAAATACTACAAGCTAATTCCATGTTGACACGGGATACTGCTGGATAAAGTGATAACATATCTGTATAGCCACTTTTCAGATAGATACTGAACTGAGAAGGAAAGAAGGAAGGAAAATTCAGAATACAAACAGCAAGGTGAAAGATCTTCTAGCATAGAAAAATCTCTGCCCACCTGACCTTTCATGAGGCAGCAAGGTATAATAAACTATATTATCAAGAGGAAATGTCAAAAATACACTCGAACTGTGGAAAGCACAAGACAGCCTCGCTCTCCAGAGCAGCGGTTCTCTGGGTGCACACCCTTGTAATTCTTGGTTTTAATTGCTTAAGACACATCAGGGAAATACAACATGACACAGTAGATTTTGTTACTCCTGCAATGCACACGCACACAGAATTCCAGAGTCCTCTGATGCTAACCACTGGCTCACATTGCAGAGGCAGTTACTGCAAGTGAAGCCTCCCAGAGAGGAGATAGCCAAAATGCAACCCACCCACTTCCCTGAGAGCACTGTTCATCTAATACAACACTACTCTCCCTAATTTCTATTTTTCTGCTGGCCAACCTACAAAGTGGGGCTTTCATGGCTCAAAATGTTCCCGAAACTGGGGCTCAGCACTCTATTGCAAACTACTGAAACTCCCAGTGGCAAAAAGTCGGTATCAGGAGAAAAGATTTATAGGATGAACCGTGAATCCTTCAGTATTTCATCTGTAAGTCCTGGCACCTGCAGCATGATCAGCCAAACTGATTTTGAGAAGGATTCCCAGATTCATTACAGTGATCCGAACTCCCATTAGCCTATAAGACAACTACAGAGGGAAGGCCCATTGAGAGACATAGACGAGACTCAGCATTCCTTTGACAATTCAGTCACGTCGCTTTTCATTTATAATACTTTGCCAATTTTCGCAGTTATTCTCTAAATTTGCTTTCTAAAATTCACCTACAGGAAATACCTTCTCTTTATCAGCAGTTCACACACTCAGCTCTTCCTGAAATATTTTGTAGCTTCTTTAGATCTCAGCCTTGTCTAAATGTGTGAAATCATACAAATCAGACAACCATACAAACAAGTTTGAGTAATTACTGTTTTATTAATAACCCCAGTGTGTTCCATATCAACAAGACAGCTACTGAGAGTGAATTTACACCCTCAAACCCTGGTCTGAGAACACAATAAGATGACTTTGGAACAGCTGTTAACCTGCTTTAGAAAACACTTATCGTGGCATTAACACTAACCCTGCAGAGCAATATATACTGAAGCTATTCTTCAGCCCAATTTTCATTCTACTTGCTCAAGAGTTGATCCAGGAACGGCCTCAAGAGCCCTGGCCAGGAATGGCAGATAATAGTGGGAACTCATTGGTATGAGCTCCTGTGTTCAACCAGTAAAAGGATTTACATGCATTGTAACAAAACACTTAATGCTTCCCATCACGCACTCTCTGCTGGAGAACAGCTAATTTTGAAAACATTCCCTTTGGTTTCAGCAGATCATTATATAATAAAGTTTATATACATAGAGCAGCGAGTGAATACAAAAATGAGGTATGGAATGGTCCCCGGGAACACAGGGAAGCAGACAAAATAAAAATCCACTTTGCTGTGCAAGCTAGCCTTTTGCTACAGCAGTTTCTCAATCTGTTGTCAATAAGATACCAGGAAGTGGCCTGGTATAACTGAAAACAGTTTGATATAAAAGTTTAAAAGAATATATATATGCATGCATATGCAAACGAGCAGACAAGAAATAAAAGTTTAAAGAAGCATTCAAAGCATAGCCTAATTTCTGTTTGGTTGTGAAAGAAAACTATGAAAACACTGCATAATTTTTTTTAGTAATAAGTCAGGTAGCCTTTGGACTGAAGTTGAGAAACTTAACCAGAGAACACTGAAATAGAAAGCTTTATGCCACATTTCACGCTTTAGTTAGCGCTCAACATTCATTACTCCCATTCATACAACTAGACAGCAATCTGCCCTCCACAGAGTTACCAGTTTCCTTGATCAAAATTTCTAAAATCAGGCATTTATGAAACCCAGCACAGAATTTCAAGCGTGTGATCAGCTGCACACAGATTTTACATGTGAGCAAACACATATACAAGAGAAGGGCAATGCAAGGGCTGGAAGCATAGGTGGTAAATCACAGTACAGATCTCCTCTCCCTATTTAAGTTTTACCAACTAAATTTGGAGGGTTTTCCCCATTTTACAGATGGCTGCTGCTAACAACTCTTTATTATACCAAGCGCTAATCAGTTAAATGTATTAGACACAAACTGAAGGTATCAGAATTACTTGTTTCATTAATAGCAGATTTTCTACGAGAAAGGAATTTGAAGAGAAGCAAAGCCTTGAGGAAAAGTATCTCTGATTTCTTCATCACCACAGGCCAAGCCATGCAGAGCAGAGGTGATCCAACTCACAGGAAACACAGGGGAGGATGAGAACAGACTTTTTTTTTTTTTTTTTTTTTTGTTACACAGATACCTCAGATTTCTCCCTTGAGGTCTCCACTACAGACTCCTGGGCCAGGAATACTAAAGCAGCAATGTAAATATAATTCATCAGCATTTCCCTTTCCTTTCTGTCTTCTCATGAAAAGCCTCAGGAATGATGGAAAGGCCTTTCTCTCTTACTATGTCAAACACATTCCTCCACAAATCCAGAATTCAGCATCCACTTCAGCCTCTCTGAAAGCTGGTACAAAAAAAAAAAAAAAAAAAAAAAGAGGAAGGGAATTTATTTGAATTCATACATAATTTGAAATCCCCTGAAAACATGAAAAGAAAAACAGAAGTCCCACAAAAAAAAAACAAAAAACAACAAACAAAAAAAAACAACCCCCCCAAAAAAAACCCTTTCTTTCTATTAAAAGCTTTACATATCTTTTGAGACAACTGTATGGGACTTTTATATTTTAAGGAACTTAAACCATGCAATTCTTACCTAGAGAGGAGTAACACAAAGGAATCAGTCTATTTTATCTAACAAAGCTGATACACAGATCTATATTCAACATGGGAGAGAGGTCTGTATTTCTTACTAGGTACAAGAAAAGTAATCATATTTAGCTTCACTCTAATTAAGGCATGGTGTAACAGTGTCTTTCCTTCTCCTTCCCAGCAACTCACTTGTAAATACAAGCTATCCAATGCCAAAACAGGACAAGATAAAAATCATACACATGCTACCATAAAATTAAATGTTGGAAAACAGGCTCTAACATTTTTTCTCTGTAAAAACAAAACAAAACCAAAACACAGCTTTCTCAGTGCAGATATCAAACACATATCCTGCACGAGCTGATCTGGGGGGTTTTTCGAGGTTTGGGGGGGTTTTTTATTTTCTTTTGTTTTTGAGATGTTTGTGATATTTATGGTTTGGGGTTTTTTTGGTGGTTGGTTGTTTTGGGTTTTTTTTCCAGCTAAGTTTAAGATCGCTATTCAGCACTTAGTGCTTTTCAAGATGAAGCAGAGAAGTAATGGCACAATTCAAAAATAGGTGAGGTTATCTAAACTTTATTTAATAGTAATTAAGAAGCACTAGCATTTCTGCAGTCCCCTACAGCTGTAGACCTCTAACTGCTTCTCAAAATATCAGCCACATACTGCAGCAGAAAAAACTCCAACACCAAGTTATCTCCTTCCGATGTCACACAGTAAATCTGTGTGACAGAACAAAGAACTAACTTTAAGCCTAGCGCCCTGTGTTTTTTTTTTTTAACTATGCTGTTAGATCAAGGGATTAATTAAGCGATTTCCCGAGTCTGGGAATACAAGGAATGTGGCAAATCAGCCACGGAGCCATAGTCCCAAACTGCAGCAAACACAAAGTGAGATGGAGTTACACACATCGAAGAAATAACAGGATCAGGGGAGAAAAGTCCATCGAGGAACGTTCCCAAAGGTTAGAGACAAAAAGCCAAGCCCTCACTAGGGCAGTTTCCCAGCTCACAATGGAAGATCACTAAAATATAATTTTTCACACCTAGCTCTAGCAAAGAGGTTGGAATTGTAAAAATTCACAGTGGAAAAGGTAACTCAACAAGCAGTAACACATACAGCTCTTCTCCAGGAAACTTTTACAATGGCACTTTACCTTAACTACAAAAATTACAAATTTCCTTACACAGATCAAGAAAATCCCATCAGAATAAACTGTTTACCTTTTAGTTTTGCTTCTCACCTTCTTTGCACATTTCTCATCCTCTTAATTACAATGGGGAAAAACTCGATTTTAGCGTTTAAGAGTTAAAAACCAGCATGCCACTCCACAGCTAGTCTCCCAATGGTCTTTTCACACATTTTCTAGCTAGAACAAGCTCATTCACACATTGAATTCTGTTGAAAAGCAATCATCAAAGCTCCCCTCCTTTTGTACCACTTCCAGTTGCAGCCGATAAATTTTTCTCCATCCATCTGCACCAACCCACTAAACCCTGAAGATTGTGGGGGAAATTGGAGCGGTTACATACAAATTCTGTCTGTTAACTGGTACAGCCCTCCATAGCAGGCCCTCCTACAGGCTGCAAACACAGTTAAAGATTTACCATCAGAAGAAAAGGAGACACCCCCCTCCCCCTCCCAGCCAACACACCTGGATTAGCTCCCTGCAATCACTGCAAAACAGGCTCAAATGAGAGGGGGGGAAAAAAAAAAAAAAGTCAATACAAGCAATTTTGCAAAACTGACTTTAATGTATTGGGCACTATCCTACTTCTTTTCTCTCTTGATTGTGTTAAAGTACTTTTAACTCTGCAAAATAAAAAAAAAGGCAGCATTTGCATGTGCTGTCATAGGTGGGCATCAACAACCCCTGGCAGGACTCTCACTGCTCAGGAGATTTAGAGCCTCCTGGAATATTGACTGACAAGCTGCTGATCTCCAAAAAAGTTACACACGGGTGTGAAACTTCCAAGATCACTGAACCCGCATCATAATGCTAGAAGTAAAAACATTCCTGCTTTCACAGCATTATTTTTCTTTTGCTAAAATCATGAGATGCCTTCTCTCAGTGTTCACAATACAATCTGTATCAAAGAAAGTCAAGCTTTCTAAATAAGGCTGAGTAGATCAGAGCTACAGAAGCACCATCATCAGTGCAGAAGGTGATCAGATCAAGAATACTCCGAGATAACTGTGTTATCTCTATAAGGCTCCTGAAGCAGATGGTAAATCCGTAATAGACATACCTGAGCAAGCTCTCTCTTTGGTACAGTAGGACATTTTTTTCCACAAAGGCTGCTGTTCAATATCCCAATATCTTACATCAGTCCTGGACAGAAATATTCCAAAATAATTTATTTGTAAGCATTATCCGCTTCAGGAGCATCACAGGTCTATCAAAAACACACTCTCACCGGATCCTGAATATAATCCAACCAAACCATTTTTTCCCTGCATAAAGCTTATCCACTGGTAACCTCTTGTGGTTTTTCTTTCCAAACAGGGAGAAAAAAAAATACTATGCACAGAGCAGCAATTGCCAGTATGAAACTCTGGCCACTTTAAGAGAACTTTAAAGAACCGTATTATCGTGTTTCCCTCTAAAAGTTTTCCTCAGTCTAACTGTTACGAGCCTAACATGTTATTTTCTTAATTCACC